GCTCCTCTCCCGCCCCCATGGCTATGCCAGCAGTCTCCCACCCCACCCCATCTCCTCTCCCACCCATCCCATAGGTCCCCCATCCTGCAGCAGCAGTCTCCAAGCACCCCAAACCTCACACGGCCTCAGTGACCTCCCAGGTCCCCACCACAGTGTCCTCCTGTCCCCCATCCTCCTGAACACAAGGCTCCCCCATCTCTGCCCTCTCGCACTTGGCCCTTCCTTACCCACTTGGGGGGACGCAGCTTCACCCGCCCTGTTCTTACGGCTCAGGGGCACCAGCCGGGGCCTCTCCACGGGCCCAGCTCCTTGTTGGAGGAGACAGACCTCTGGCAAGCTGAGGAAGCAGCTCCCAGCTCCAGTTTTGGGATCTTTCCCCGGAGCTGAGCTGCACCCCAGGCAGGTGTTTCACCGAAGGACCCGCTGGCAGGCTGGGGAAGCCAAATCCAAGGTCTTTCCCTCCCTGGTTCCCTTTCTACCCGTTCACATTTTTTCGTTCATCGTATCCATCTTTTCTGTGCTGTCTTGTGCTGTCCTCTGTAGGTTACAATCTCCCCTCTTTTCTGTTGTTTTTTTCTCCCATTCGACAAACGTCCTTCTTTCCTTCTTCCAGATGCTCCTTCTCCATCTCTTTCACTCTCCTGTAGGCTCTTGCTTCTGCCTCTATTTGTGGGAGTTTGAATTCTGCCCTTTCTCTTCTTTTTTCTTATTTTTCTTATTTTTTTTAAATCGTGGCAAAGTATCAGGACTGATAGATTCAGAGCTTCAGAACTGGCTGCCAAAGTTACTGCTTTGCAGAGTCTAAATTTCAACAGAGGGGAAAAAAAAAACAGGCAGGTGGAAAGGTGCATAAGCACAGATAAAATGCTTTTTCCAGGGAGGGAAAACTAATTTAATCTTGAGAAGAGTGGGAGGACTCGCATATATTAAATAAGCTGTCTGGGAAGCGTGTATTTGGCATTTCGGAGTCTTGTCGAAGGAGTTCAAAAGTTCTGCAAAGTCCGAAAGACGCTGCTGAAAAAAAAAAAAAAAAAAAAGGAAACAGAAAGAAAAGCTTTGTGCATTGTCCAGATGAATGCACTCTAATGCACGCCTGTATGTGGCCAAATCAAAGTCATTTGGAGTGCGTGAAACTCCAGCACAAAGTTCTTCAGAAGGAGAAAACTGGTGTTATAGATATAATGGGATCGGAGAGGACATGATCCCCACGATGCTGAATTCAAATGTTGCAGATAGTCCCTTTTTTTCTGCTGACTGAAGCTGTGGCAAGAAATATGAATATGGAAATGAGATGAACGCCAGCCCTTAACTTGGCCAAAATGAATTCATGTGCATAAGGCACGTATAATAATACATATGTAACATAAAATCCCTCTTTTTGACACTTTAAAGCCTAAGCAGTATATATGTATGTTAATTCTCAGAACAGTAAGAAATAAAGACTCCGGGACCCGTTTTCTTGGGTGAGAGGCACCCATATTAAGCTCAAACTTTTGTTTTGCAGTATGATGGGCTATAAATGGAAGCATTCCTCATTTCTTCAAACTTTTCTATGTAGCAAATTTGCTACATGTGATTTGAAAGGAAAAAAACAAAACAAAACAAAACAAACAACAAACCAGAAACCAAACCAACACAGAAGTAATGAAACTATTTGGTCTTATTATTTCAATAGATGTGTAGGTGCACGTTGCATTTCATGACCCAATCAGGGGGCAGAAGAGTCATCTGTTTTGATACAAAAACAACCCAAACTTGTGCGATGAGACATACGGGTGGGAGAAGACAGCAGTTAAGGATTATAGCGTTGGCACACTGAATGAGAAAAGCAGTTTCTTGGGCGATATATGACACGATACAATATATTGTTGAGCCTGCCTCTGAATTTCTCGGAGCAGTTGTGGCCACCTGTGTCCAAAAAGGGTGAATTCAGGCTGGAATATGTGCAGGGAAAAGCCAGGCGTTGGTTAGAGGTCAGGACAGTCTGTCTTTCTACTGTGGACTGAAAGAATTTGGCTTGTTTAGTTTAGCAAAATGAGACTGGAGAGGGAATATGTTTTCTGCCTATAAATACATTCTGGAAAGTAAATGCAAGCGAAGGGAAAGGCGTCGTGACACTGAAGGGCAACAGCAGAAGAGTAAATGAGTAGGAACTGGCCATGAATATATTTAGTCTAGAAATCGGAAGATCTTTCCAGTAGGAGTTACAGAGACTAAAAAAAAAAAAAAAAAAAAAAAAAAGTAACCAGTTTTAACACATAGCTTCATAATTTTATAAAGGAAATTGCATGCCAAGGAGAGGCAATAAACAGTTGGGATGAAAGCCCTTGAAAGGTTTTCCAGCCCAGATCATCTCTCCTTGGAAAGATCTTGTCCATTTTGATGCGTGGTACGCTACGTTCCTTCCTGCATCAGGCGATGAGTCACGGATACATGACTCCGTGGGTGGCCAGAAGTGATATCTCCACCGCTTACATCTTAATTCCTGATTTTCCCATGATGTTCTCCAGCTCCTGCTCACTCACTTAGCACACAGCAGAGATGCAGCCACGTTCAAAACACCCCACAAACCCCTCGTTTCCCTGGTACCCACGGCCACCGCTGTGCCGTCGCTTTGGCCAAGGACATGGGAAAGATGCTTTGTCCCTTCAATCGACAAGAGCTGCAGTCCTGCTTTGTTGTAACACCGGCCCTTACAGAGAGCTAGAACAGTCGTTAGTCAGAGCCTGTTGCTTTTATTAGCCAACATTATGTATTTTTAAGAGTTTTTTTGGAAGGCGCGAGTGTCAATCACACCCATGTTGAGATCTCTCTTAATTGATTTGTTTGAGAGGAGAAAGCTTTTCTCTGTGCTAAGCAGAGATCCACGCTTCCATCACGCTGGAGGCACTTGTGTCCAGAGGTCCAGGTAAACTCTGGGTGACCCTTAGATCTGCAAGTATTTATAAAATGTGTTTAGCAAGGGCTTTTCCTTTGCAACACTCCGAGCCGATCTGCCTGTGCCTTGCATTTCCTGGGTTTTTTTCTGTTCTTCAGAAGCACCAGCGAGACACCAGACGTGCTTGGTACTCCAGCAGCACCCAGCAAACCAAGGCATGGGATCATAACCTTCTTGTGCTGGCTGGTTAAAGGCTTTTTTCGTCCTGATCAATACACTAATTGAGCTGTGTGGTCTTCCATCTTCCAGGCATTTATTCAGATCAGAGGAACAAACACTATATATAGAGAGGTATGTAAGCCAGGAACAGAGCCGTGTAAATCTGGAACTACCTCATTTAAATAACTGGGGGATGGATCCAGCTGGGTGTTTGGTATATGTGGAGTACTCTGCTACCAGCACAGATAATTACAATTAATGGGGATTTACTTTAAGCAAAGTAGGTCAGAAAAATGACATCTTATTGTGTCATTAGTTTCCATCGATTACTTCCATGCTGTTTGCTCAGTTCCCAAGTCAAACGAGTTGTGGGCTGACAGCGTTGAAAGCTGAACTTGGTATTGTCTCTAAAAATCAAACTGTATTATTTCTGCCTCATGCATCATCACTAACAATAAAGCATCCACCACTGGAATATAGCAGGTGGCTTTGTTATTCATGCATGAGGCAGAAAAGACTCCAGCTTCCTTTGCAATGACGTTAACGTCTCCACAGTACTAGAAGTTAGATGTGTTGGTAATAGTTGTTGTGTGAGCTTCACTTAGAAGAAACTCTTAGGTTAGTCCTTCTATTGATTAACTTCTGTACTTTCCATTGGAGTCTTTGAAGGCTACGTGTGTGTATCACGAGAGGATTAACACGATGCTGCTTATTTCTGTTACTTGTCTCCCTGTGACAGCACTTGGTGATGTTAGGCTCTCTAGGAAAGGTGCAGAAGGTGCCCAACGTTGTGTATTGAAAAGCCAGCTCCCAGTCATCCTAACCGCTGCCTCTAAGAGCGTGTGAGGAATGTTGGGTGAAGCTTTCCAGTTCTAGCACTTCTTTTTTATTGGAGGGCTTAGTTTTTGAACTTTCGGTTTAGCAGTGCAATCGACTGATGAGTGTTATCAGTGACTGTCAATAATCATGTGTTAGTCCCTACCGATATTTTGAAACAACTGAACGTGGTGTGTTCTCACAGCTGGACCAGGTGCTTGACGTCTAATCCCAGTTCTTTACAACTCCACAATTTCACATATGCAACTGAGCAGTTTTGAAAGGCTTACAGTTTCCAGTAAATAAATTAAAATTAAAGAATGTGTTTAGGCTCCACAGTAGTCCAGTCAGGGGCAGATTCTTTTCAAAGTAAATATCCTTGTGAGCCACCTTGGTTTCACTCACTGAAGTTTTACCAGGATGGGACTATCACAGAGGAAGGTATCTAAAACAAAAGGCTATTCCTTAAAAACAGATTCCTCTTTCTGGCTATATTTTTGGCAAAATGGAGTTACTGCTGTAACCTACAGAGGTTGTAAATCTTGATTAAAGTCCCTAAAGCATGTTCAGGTCCTCAGGTGTTGCATGATAAAAGCTGGATACCAATTCTCTACTAAATAAATAATTACGTGAATCCTAAACTTCTTTATTGGACAGTAATATTACATTTAAATTACTTCACATCTCCTGACAAATTTACGAATTAGTATGGTCTTGGGAAGTGTGCATTAACAGGCTTCAGAGTTCCTATTATCTAGATCTTACCTGCAGTGACATGGTTTATTCAGCTCTCCTCAGGCTTCCTTTAATCTCCTGAGAGCTGCAACTCTTTTCATTTATTACTGCGCATCAAAAGGAACCTGTCTCTCTGCTTTCAGAAACATGCCTTTGTGGGACACCTTTTAGATGCAATCAGCCAAACCAGTGACATCGGATGCGTGACCGTGGGGCCACCTGGGGACTGGCCTGTGCAGAAGAGGGTGACTGCAAGAAGCTTTCCGACCTGTC